CCATGCATGTGCCCCCCACTTAGAAATCCTCACCTGTTCTCTGCCTATCCAGGTTTTCCCTCATTCCCCAGGGCTCAGCTGGGGCTGCACCAGCTCCGCCAGGAAGACTTCCTGGTCCTCATCACCTCCCAAGTCATCAAAGAAATAGCTCAGCCTACTCTTTGGCCAGGCCCCACATGATCAGGCAGGGCAGCTGTGACCTGTGTCCCCTGGAGAGGGGCCACCCAGGTGGCAGGGAGTTTTAAGTTGGGATGCCGATCCAGCATGCTGTCTGGAGCTGGCGGCTGGTCCCCTGGGAGCTCACCCACTCAGCATGCACTCCGGGCTGCAGCCACAAGAAAGCAATTAAGGGCTCGATGATGGGGCTGGAATTATTCAGCTATTAAGGTACCTGATAAGCTGGAAGCCACTCAGCTCCATGATTAATCAACTGGGGCCAGGAGCAGGCAGGGCGGGGGTGAGGACTCTTAGAGGGGCAGGAGCTGTGTCATGATCCTGCTCCAACACAAGCATTTGAACTTGCAAGCGTGTGCACACGCGTGCGCGCGCGCGTGCACACACACACACACACACACACACACACAGCCTGCACTCCCCAACAGGTATACCTGTATCTAACCTCCATGTTTCTAGCCAGGTGTGTGATCCCCTTGCCCCTACTTGCCCAGCAGCCCGATTGCTGCCATGGGCACAGGGACTCACGTGCTCATACCTACAGACCACTCTGGGTCCTGCTCTCACAGCCCGCCACAGCCAGACCCGCTGCTGAGCACACTCACGGAGCAAGGCTCCTCTCAGGCGGATGCACTCCAGCCTGCAGAGTCCTCCACACGGGCAAAACTCAGGTGGCCTGAGCAGTATCCCTGCCTCCACCTCAGGACAGCCCTAAATCTGCTGACGTCCGTGTGGTTCATGTTCTCACATATGCGGGGAACCTGTCTCTGCATGTGGGATGCTCAGGAAAAACTGGCAGCAGTTGGACACCTGCTACTGGCCAGAGCTCTGTACTCACCCCTCCCTGAGGGGTGACTTCTTCCGCTTCCTTTCTTCCCAGCTGGAGCCCTGGCATCATCACCCCTCCCTCCACCCCACTGTCCCTGTCAAAGGTCCACCCCAAGTGAGAGCCAGAGGATGCCTTCCAAAGGCCCTGCCCCTCTCCCCAGAGGACAGCTTCTGAACACTGATGCCTTCAGAGCGGATAAAGAGCTGTGATTTAAAGACACACAGGCTCCAGGCTTTGCCCACAGCCGGGGTGCCGACATTTGCCTGCGCACTCGTCCCTCTGCTCTGGGACCTTTGCTGTGTCTTGTCTGCTGCCTAATCCTCCCTCCCCCGCTCCTCTTGCTCCCCTCTCTCTGTCCCTGTGGCTCCCCTTAACTGACCATAATGTGAAAACAAAACACATTTCTAGCATTGGTTGTGCCTATCGAACACTGTTACGGTCCTGTTCTTAATTTAGAAACTTAGTGAGTTAAACAAACTCTATTTTTCTCTTTAAGGAAAAAATAAAGTCAGGCTCTCAGATGTTCCACACAGCATTGTCTGCCCTGGGAGAGTCTGCCTGGCAAGTTCCACCCGTCGCTGGGCCTCAGTTTCCCCATCTGCACAATGAGAGGTTTAGACCAGATCATCCTGGAAGCCCATCTAGCTGCTGGCAGGGGTTGTTTCTGACTTCAGGTCAAGAGCCAAGGGAAGGCCCCGGCCTGGCTGGGCGGTCTCTGCACGAGTCACGACCCCACCGCGTGCACGCACGCACTCCCAGATGCGACTGTGCAAACGCTCCGGGCCCCGCCTGGAAAGAGCCTGCTCCTTGGCCGACGTGCGCACACCCGCTTCCATGAGAACACGCTCTCGGATCATGCGAAGTTGGAAAATGGGGACCATGCCCCCTCAGGCAAGCGATTACAGATTTAATTAAAAGTGACACAGTAAATAAAAAACATATAAAATGTAATTTGTGTGGGTAGCGAGGGGTGACTGGGGAGGGCGGTGTGGCTCCTGTTTTAATTAGCGTGCCTGCTTGTGATAGTGCCCCTCGACTGGCTCAGGCAGGTGGCCTGTGGAGGGGGCGGGGCAGCATCTGCCCGCACCCCCGCCCGAGGCTACCCAGAAGGGTGGGCTGACCCTAAGCCTCCCTGAGGACCCTGGAGGATTCCCCACATTCTGAAGACTGCCCAGAAGCTCTGGGACCTTTGCCCCAAGATCCGCCATCCAGTGGGCCCCCTGGATTCTGGGACTACCCTGTAGGCACCCCCAGGATCATGTAGAATCAGCAGACCCCAGAGCCTTGAATCCTGCTGCTAGAGCTCCCCATCTGGTGTTTGACTCCTGGCCCCCTCCGCCACACCTCTCAAGACGGTCAGCAAGGCCCTCCTCATGTCTGACCAGAATCCTCCTAGCTGTAGTGACCCGGTTTCCCCACTGTGCAAAACTATCCCTGGAGCTTGGACTCTCAGCTACCCTCTACCCACGCCTCCTCCATGCCAAGAACAGGAGGAAGGTGTTCCAGGTGGTGTCTGTGTGAGAGGTTGCTCCCCGACTCCCAGCCCTTATGTCCATCTGATGTGGTTGGTGGCTCTGCCACCATTCCCACGTGGCACCAGGGGACAGGGGAGCTGCTTGGGGTGGGCGGGGACTTGGCCCGGCATGTGAGGGCACGGCTGTGGGCATGCGTGTGCAAACAGAAGGAGACCAAGCACAAGGTGAGAAGCTCGGGGACCGCCCAGCCACTGTGAGGCTGTGCCCGAGTGGCTCGATGCCTGCGTGTGGGTGAGTCTGAGAGGCGAGCACGGGTGACCTTGGGTAGAGGGGGCTGACAGTAGATGGCTGGGCACCTGGGACCTGGCAGTACCCTGGCGGTAGGCCTTGGCCCAATCACGCTGCACACTCACAGCCTTTGTAGATATCCGTGGGGATCTGCACTGCCGTGTACGAATAGTTGACCTTGTTCTTGAAGTTTGAGTCCTCAACGAAGTCCAGCCTTAGGGTGCTGGCCTTGGAACCCCTCTCCATATCCTCACTCTCAGGGTCATCCTGCAGAAAGGGACCCCCCCCACATGGCAGTGTCAGGGCCAGCAATGGTGGAGTGGGGTCACACAGGCCTGCAGGCAGGGGAGGGCCAGTCTAGGCATAGGGGCATCTCAGAATCAGACTCTTGCAGTCAGAGACCCAGAGAGAGAGAGATGGCGAGACACAGGGACAGATGGACACTGGGTATGTTCCCCTTATCCAGGAGGCTTGTGACTTCCATCTGCCCCCCGCCCACCTCACCCGCCATTCCCACGTTCGCTAAACCCAGATTCCAAAACCCAAACCAAACCGACCCTTTCCTGACATCTTTGGAAACCAGTTATCAGTGAAGGAGACAAATCTTGGAGCCAGTGAGGAATGGGCTGCAGACCTCTGCCTGAGGACGTGCCTTGTGCAATCACAGGGAGCCTGTCAGCCCTTCCCAGGAGATCTGGGACCCCCACCAGGCCCCGCCCAATCCCTGTACGGAGTTCCTTTGGCAGCAGGGAGAGGCCACGGGCCCCATCTGGGGCAGGGGCACCAACCCCTGCAGCAGTGTGGCTCTAGGGCTGAGCTGGGGAGTCCTGGGGGGAGCCGGGCTAGAGCAGGGGCTAGCACTGAGACCAGTAACCTCTGGGAGGAGGGTCTGCGGCGCCTGCTAGCAGCGGGACTGTAAAAGCCCCCGTGACTTTCTAAAATGGGCTGCAGCTGTCTGACAGGTGCCAATTACTGCATCTCTGGCCAGGCAGGCTGGGCATGCGCTATGAGCCCCCGCCCACCACCCCAGGCTGGCAGGAGTGGGTCTGCGACGACAGTGTTGATGCTGGAGCCGTGGGGGTGGGGGTGGGGGTGGACGGGCATGGGTGCAGGTGTGTAAGGGGGAGGGAAAGATGGTGGTGGAGTGAAGGGGAGACAAGGAAAAGGCTGGCGGGCCAAGGGGCAGAGCCGGGGCTTGTGTCCTGGGAGGGAGGAGCTAAGCAGCTCCTCCTTCATTGAATCCCCCGCATGCTCCCTCACTGCCTGGCAAGACCTGTTCCCACCCTTGACAAGGCACAACTCATCTCTCCGCTGTGGATGGCACTGTGACAACCGACCCCACCGCTCACCGGGTCCTGGCACACCCCTCGGCTCCCCCTCCAGGCGTTTGCCCAGGCTGCGTCTCGTCAGGGTGATCTGCCTCTCCACCCAGCTGGATATGCTTGCCCCATCCCGGATGGGGGGACAGTGGCTGGCCTGTGTGGGTGCTGGCACGGCTCCGAAGGGCCTGCGGCAAACTCCTTTTCATCTCTTCAAGAGTGAAATTTATACAGCACAACCCAAGCCATGTGCTGCCCTCCCTCTGTGTCTCCCAGTGTGTGGCCCCCTCCACCCACCTCGGCGCACCCTAGGAGGACCCTCTGAAGCTCTTGGTGCCGGGTAAAGCTGGGCGGGCAGCTGCCCCGCAGAGGCCAGAGCAGGGAGCCGCCGCCTCTGAGGCGTGAGCTACTCACGTTCTTCGTTCTTCGAGGAGGAGGGGAGGCTCACGGGAAGAAAGCCCCCGAAATGTCAGCGGCAGATGAAGGGCGCCGGAGAATTTAATCTCCCAACTTTCCCAACTAATGTGACATTTGGATTCCGTTCTGATAAGCTATCAGCTGGCGAACTTTTTCCTTCCTTCTCTTTCCCCCACCCCCACCTTCTGGCTGGTAATTTAAAAGTAAATGGTCTAGAAAGATCTCTAACTGTACCTCTGGCAAAGATTAAAAAAACAATACAACACAACAAGAAGGGGGAGTCAGCAAATGTGTGTGTGCAGGATTTATGCCAGGGCTGGGCTGGGCCGGGCGTCTGGGCTACCTGACCGCGGCCCGGCCCCGCTTGGCGTGATCTTCCTCCTTGGGCTGCCCCTAGTGCCCCAGCAGATGGCCAAGGGGGTGGGGGCAGGGAATATGATTTAGCGCTAGGGGCCGGGGGTCCTGGATGCATTGGGGCTGCTGGCGGCTGGTTCCGTGTCCTGGCAGGGGGCTAGGCCCCCTCACAGGCCAAAGAGCCCCTCAGTGGCAGCCCCATGCCCAGGGCTTTGTATGGTGGGCCATCGCAGTCTCCTGGTTTATATTTAATGCACTGATTGCTAAAATTACAGCCCGCTGCTGAAGGGGGTAAGGAATTAGATTCAGGGTCTAATTAAAGGTTCGCTCTTCATTTGAATTTCAGATTCCAGCTTTAATTTTAGCAACTTCTCTGGGAGCCACAGAGGCTCAGCCAAGGGGGAAGCACACCTGCTTTAGCCCACCCACCCCTCCTTCTCAGGGCCCCTGCCTGCCTGTCCTCTCGATGGCTCCCCCAGGCCAGCCTGGCACCGTGGACCCCCTGCAGGGATCCTTTCCTTTCTGCTGACCTTCTGGTGTCACCAGACACAGCCAGCTCCCTGCAGGAAACCCCCCAGGCCGATAGGGAGAAAAAGACTGGATTTTGGGTCTCCTGCACCAGCCAGCACAGGTGGGGCCCCGGAGGCTGAGACGTTGTGACAGCTCTGTTTTCCGAGGAGACAGCTGGGTTCAACTACTTTTGCCTCAAAGGCAGGCAGATGGATTTGGGCCTGGACAGGTCCACTCCGAGTGCCCTGCCCCTTGACACCCTCGTCTCCTCTGTAGGCCTCCACCCACCCAAATGGTCTCTGTCATCTGAAGAACAGGCACAGAGGACCTAGGCTGCCCCTGCAGCTGGGGAAAGACTGACTGAGCAGGGAGCCAGGCTGTGGGGTGCTCAGCACACTGAGCTGCTGTTCCCCTCACCACAGGGAAGGGAACCTGCACTGACCTGAAACACCTGATGGCACTGCATCCTGCATCCTGGCCTTGCCTGCCACCTCCAGGAAAGCCTCCCCGACTGCTCCCTCTCCTCCTTGCTCTCGTACAACTCGGCACCCCTCTCCACACTGGCACCTGAACTGATCTATGGGACGGGGTCCAAGCGCCTCACTACCCTGCCCATGGCTGGGGTCCAGGCCTGCCCCATACTGTGCAGTGAAGCCGTGCCCCTTAGTCACAGAGACACAGCCCTGGAGGCGTCTGGGCCTCCAGGGTTTGTGGGAGGTGTAGGGTGGGGGTTTGTGCCACCACAGCCCTGCAGGTTTGAGCTCATAATCCGAAAGCAGCATCGAACCCGACACTCATTTTCCAGCTGAGGCCACTAGCTCAGAGAGGGCCGGTAGCTCTGGCAGCTGCCCCTCCCCCCAGTGTAGGCGGGGGCACTTACCAGCTCAGCATCAGCCTTGGCATCATAGTACACGATGTCTTCCTCCTGGTTGGAGAGAGAGGCCTCAACACTCACAGCCCAAGGTCTCTGGAGGCGCAACCAGGACCCCCGGCCGCAACGCCTGGAACGGCCTCCTCAGGTTCCTCCGGCCAGAGCTGCCACCCAGGGAGGCGGGATGAGTCAGGCCGGGGTGCCCCTCCCCTGGGGGACCGGGGACTGTCCTCAGGGGCTCTTGCTGACTCCAGGGTCTCTGCAGTGGGTCTGAACCAGCCTGTCTGCAGAGACTCTGGCCGAAGCAGAACCAGGGGGAGTGAAGAAGATGGAAAAACAGAGCCGAGTCTGGGCAAGAGTGAAATAATGACTCGACGCTGCATCTTCCAATTTCTTCTATTAAAAAGCCTGCTCATTACGGGCATGTACTTATTAATTATCTGTGATTTGTTGTGAAATGCGAGGGGGTTTGCACAACAGGATCGGGAGAAAACAAAGCCCGGCCCCCGAGCCTGCCTCCCAGCCCTCGGCTGCCCGTGCCCGCCCCGCCCGCCCCGGCCTGGCCAGCCTGCCTGCTGCCTAGGTTCTCGGCCATCTGCGCGTCATAATCACTGGCCACCCGGGGGATCCGTAACACAAACGGGCTAATTTCATGTTTAATGATCTTTAATCAGCACTGAGCATGGCTGACAGAGGCCGCCAGAAGGTGAATCTGGTGCCGTCAATGTGCTACCCGCTCAGGAGGGGCCACCCCACCCCTGCCCTGATGGGTCCCAGGCAGGACATGGAATAGGGCCACTGTGGGAGTCTCCCTCCCCTGGTGCTCCTCAGCCTCGTTTTGTACAGCAAAACCTGGAGCATAGCTCTGGCAGTCCCTCGCTCACTGGCCTGTTTCTCAATGGTCTGCAAATGGGGGTGACGACCGAGTGTGACCCAGGTCTGGCCGTAAAACAGTAAGCACAGGGCCAGCACGTACTCCGTGGTGGGCAGAAGTCATCCTGGCCGCCCCTGGCCCAGGCCTGGCTGGGCCCCATTTGCTGTGTGACCAGCTGCACCGCTCCCTCTCTGAGCTCGGGCTCCTCATGCTTCAAGGGAGGGGCTTGGCTGTGCTGATTGCTCAGGTGCTGCGTCTGAGGCCATGGTTTGGGGTGGTCAAACTGGGGCTTATTGTGGGGAACAGTCGTGGGTTGTTTCCCACCAATGATCTGGGGGCGGGGAGTCAGGCCACTGGCTGGACACCCGCAGGCACACTGCAAGCGTTCTGGAACACTGACCACACGCCTGGCACCATCTTGGCCTAGACGACAACCTCTTGATGAACGTAAGACTGAAGGCCACTTGATAGTTTCAGTCATCTGAGGCATCTGGTGTGTCTACCGCTTTGCACACATTGAATCCCGGGTCCTCCCTGACAGCTCTGTGACCCCACCGTACGGGCCGGGACACTATGGCAGGGATAAGAGAGGCTTTGCACCCTGGTTCCACCAGCCTTCTGGACCCATCTCCAACCCCTCCCACACTCGTCCACCCACCAGCCCAGAAAGACTGGAGCCCAGTGGGCGGGGCGGGGACGGGGCTGGGGCGGGGTCCGGGCTCCAGGATGCTCCGCCTTCCCCCGCGCCAGGCTCCGACCCGAGCGCGTAATGAAAGCTGACATTACATCAAACACAATAAAGAGTTTCGGTTGATGAAGATCATTCCTGAACACACAAACCCATTAAACCGAGGGGAAAAAATATCAATTCAACACACTCGCTGGCGAAAAGAAAATGTGATTTGTTATCTGAAAGGGGGTTATAAACACGGCTCCGCCGCGCTCGCCCTCCGCAGCGAGAACGCGCGGCTCGGCGGGAGGACTGCAGATTAGCACCGGGCTTCGCCTCCAACCTTTCAGGCAAGACTTTCGCAAGGACAGGAAAGGGCACGGCTGGCGACCCAGCGCTCTCAAGCCTCCAGGGGCCCTGGGCTCCCTCACAGGCCATGGCCGGCCCTGCGCGCATCTCCGTCCAGACACCCCAGTGTTCACGCGGCCACCCCTCCAGCTGCTCCAGAGACTCCCTTTCTCTCTTTGTCCCGTTTCATGGTTTCGGGGGAGGATCAGATGTTGGTGGCATCAGGGACACAGGGGGAACGTGGCATACAGGAGGGTTCCGGCCCCCTGCAGACCCGGGGGTGAGGCTCAGGGGTCTGGCTCAGGGGTCTTTATGCGGTCCTTGTTCCAGGGGCTGGGGTGCCTTTGGGCAGGAGTCCTCCCCGTGTCTCCTACCTCGAAGGGCCAGCTGGTCCCCTTCCTTGGTCAGGAGCAGCATTAGCATGGGGTGGCGGAGGACAAGGTCAAATGTGTGAAAATACGTGGTAAACACAGCTGTGGCGGCTACGCTTGATGTGATGTGGAGCCGGGGCCATTGGGGTCGGGGCGGGAGGGCCCCTGGAAAGGCTTGTGTGTCTGCTTCGGCCTGCACAGGGCCCAGTGTCTTCCACTGGCACCTGCCTCCGGGCTAGATAAGGAGGCAACATCACTTAGCAATGACACACAGGGGCCTTGGCAAAGGGTCCCGGCCTCGATCCTGACCTGAACACCTGTGCCCTGGGATCCTGAGCAGTGAGTGCAGACCCCAGTGGTCCCACGAAGACTCCCAGAGATCACCCCATCTCACCGAGGGGGCGAGGGTGTCTGTGAAATCCTGCGGCCTCAGCAGGAGGACTTCTCATTGTAAAATCAGGATGACGCTGCCTCATCTGAGGGTGCTATGAGGATGGGGAGCTGGGTGTCCCCAGGGGAAAGGGCTAACCCTACCCAAGGGGGGACCCCCTTATGTTTTCAACTCCACAGCCCCGGGAGGGGCCCGAATGTGGAAGAAACGCCCTGGGTGGGGTGAAATGGGTGTCATTAAGGTCTGGGGTCCATACCTCAACACCTCCCCTTTGTTTCCTGATATTCTAGGGGCCATTTTCCTCAAACTGGGCAGGGGAGGGGAAATCACCCCCTCTAACTCACACACATGCCCATGCGGGTTTCTGTACATGGATGACACATGAGGGGTGGGGCTGGGGGACACGTATGGCCATTGTACAGATGACACACACATTCTCCTTAGCTGGAGTTGAGCCCGAGAGAGGGCATGAGGGGTGTTGGCAGGTGGGGAACAGGGCGAGGATGTGAGCATGGGGTGAGCATGGGGAGTGGCAGTTTGGTGCCACAGAAGGCGGCTGCCGTGGCCTGGCCAGACCTGATGGCCGCCTGCCCACCAGGCCTTCGAGCAGGGCCCAGGCCAGCGGCCCAGCTACACCAGTGAGGACGCTTGGCCTTCTTGCCCTGGCTCACTGCCAGCTTAGTCCAGCCAAGAGGACTGTTTTCTGAGAGAGCCGTCTGTCGCCGGCTTGGCAGGGAGGCAGGCAGCACGCCTGATGGCTGGGGCAGCCTCAGGCCAGGGAGACCACCGGTCCTGTCCAGCTGGCCCCTCTGGCCTGGCCCAGCCTTTACAGCCCTCCCTTTAGGTCCCCAGGCAGAGCGACTTCTCCCATCAGAGTCCCCGGGATAGGACCGTGTCTCTCCCATCAGAGTCCCTGGGGTAGGACTGTGTCTCTCCCATCAGAGTCCCCGGGATAGGACTGTGTCTCTCCCCTCAGAGTCCCCGGGGTAGGACTGCTTTCTCCATTAGACTCCCAGGGCAGGGCTTTGTCCTGCCGGTCCTGGTGTTGGCATTGAGGGGAATCAATCGCCTCTCCTGCCTCTGCCACCCATGCCCTGGCTCCGTTCATTCCTGGTGGTGGTTTAGATGGCACATAATGCTGGCGCAGTCGGGTGCTGGTGCCAGGCGCAGTGTCCGGCAGGTGGGCCATCTTTATCTACCCTAAGTGTTATGGGCACCAGAGCACCTGCTGCCCGTCTGCAAGGGCCATGGGCAGTGCTGCCTGCTAACAAGGGCCACGGTTTCCTTGGTGGCCAAGGCTGTGGCTACCGGTTCCCTGCCCCTGCTACAGTGAGGTGTATGAGGTCATGACCTGGGAGGAGGAGGGAGAGCAGCAGGGCTTCAATCCGGACATCTCACTCTTGCTATCCGTTCCAGCTCTGACCCTGCAGGCTCCAGCACCCCCAAAACCCCCGAGCTGGTTTTGATGGGTGTGCGTGTGTGTGGATGTGGGTACACCACTGTCCGTTTCTCAGAGGTCTGCATGTAGACCTGTTGTGTGCTGTTGACACAGGGAGGGCCACGCCCTGTTAATCATGCAGCGAATTCCAGTCTGGCCCCACGGTGCCATCCTCCTCATCTCAGAGGTAAGAAGACCGAGCCCTGGCTACTCCTGGTCACTCTGTCCACAGGGCACTTGGGTGAGCACATAGACAGGTGATGCACAGCACTGAGCTAGGCTCAATTGCTTCTGGCCTAGAGGAGCTGCGGGTGGGGCAGACAGACCAGCCCACAGGGACGCTGGCCTGGGGCAGCCTGCCCTGGGGACCATCTGTGACAGAGGTACCAAAGGTGGGTGCTATGGGCAGTGGGGGCCAATCCTAGGGCTGGGACCAGAAAGAGGAGCCCTAGGAAGTTAACTGGAGAGGGAGAGGCATTGGCCTCCGAGGAGAAGGGAAGGGCGTTCCCGGGGGAAGGCCCGGCCTGTGCAAAGGGCGTGAGTTTGACGCTGGGGTTGTGGCTCAGGCCAGGGGCCCCTCCTGATTGCTGGGGAGGAACATGGCTCCTTATCTGTCACTTCCTAAAGGTTGTCGGGAAGGACTTGGTTTCAAGGGTGAGTGGAGTGCCTACAAGGGACAAAAACACCATCCCTTCCCCAGCTGCAGGTCATCCCCGAATCCCCCCTGGCGTGGATAGTCCCCACTTGCGGCCGCTGCCAGCTCTCCCCAGCAGGCTAGGCAGGGCTGGCAGCGTGTCACCTAATGGGCCCACCATTAGCACTGGTGCCTTTCGGCCTGGCAGCTGGGGCAGCTGCAGAGCTTCTGGGGAAGAGCAGGGGTGACTACTGCTCCACCATGCCCAAGGGACCAGTGGGAGGAGAGACAGACAGACAGCAGACTGATAAACTGGGGGTCATGGTGAGCACTGGGGAGATAAGGCTGGGCCCAGCTGGCCCTGTGGTCACACCTGCAGGTGAAAGAATCTCAGGTCAAGCGCGAGGGAGGGGACCAGTCAGAACCTGCTCCTGCCTCATCTTGGGACAGAAGCACCTGGGTCCATGGGCCGGTGTGGCCAGAGATGCACCTGCACTGGCCCTCACTTGGTACCCACATGGCCCAAGGTGTGGGCCGACCCCTCCACCTACCATGTCTGCGATGACAGGCAGTGCCAACACCAGCCAGTCCTTCGCCAAATGGGGAAACTGAGGCTCAGAGAGGGGTGAGCCCTCGCTGGGTCGCACAGGGACTGTGACCCAGTGTGCGGGGAGCGGGTCCTCAAGTAGCACCTGTCTTACCAGCCCCTGGGTGCCCCTGAGACCTTGGCCCTCCTTCCTTGCAGGGCTTGGGAACCATCTGCTTTCCCCATGAGACAGGTGCTCACTCTGGCCTGGGGTAAGCAGCTCCTGCCTTAGATAGTAGCTGAAAACTAGGGGCCAGGGACCTGGCAGGGTGACCCTTGGAGTCAGGAAGAGAATAGCAGTTTGGGGCTGAGGCAGCCTCTCTGTCTTCCTGTTTGGAGCCTGGACTGGGAGGCAGGGAAAGCCAGGCCGGGGGCGGGTCTTTTCATTGTTTCTCCTGATTCCTCCACTCACTCTCCTGTGCCCGCTCTGCACACCTGCCCTGGTGGGGAGGGGAGGAAGCAGGTACGGCAGGAACAAAGGAACGGCCTTAGTCCCCTGGCTTACTGCTCAAAGGAGGAGGGGCTGATGGGCTATCGCTGGGAAGGGAGATGGGCTTCCAGGAGGAACGGAGGAAATTCGGTTCCGAGATGAGGAGGGGGCCTGAGTGAGGTGTTCAGTGCGGCTGGAGCACAGGAAGAGGGGCGGGGAGGTGAGCTTGGCAAGGAGGCAGGGACAGCCAGATGCTGGGGTCTCGGGTGCAGGCTCAGGGCTGTTTGCAGTGGGGGTGTGGTCTGAGTGGCCAATGAGTCCAAGTAGCTGCCGCCATGTGTATTTCTGATCAAGGGGCTGAGAAGTCGGGGGCTCCAGTGATGAGGGGAGGGTGCTGGAATGGGGAGGGAGAAAAGGGCAGTTCTGAGCCCCTGGAAGGTGGGGGGTGGTCCAGGGAGTCACTTGTTCATTTATGTGCTCACTGTGAAAAATTCGTTCATTACCCCAAACCCACGTGAGCTCCTTGACGGTAGCACCCAGCAGCCACCAGGGCAGCCAGGGAAGAATGCCATGGTGTGGGCAAGGTGGGGTGGGTCTCAGGGTGTCTGGCGGGATGGGGACCAGGGAGCAGGAGGAGGTTTAGGGAGCCTGGATCATAGGCATGAACACCCTGGCGCCTGACAGCCTGGCTGTGAATCTCTGCTACCAACATGTAACCTCGGGTAGGTCTAACCACTCTGTGCAGGATAATGATCCCACCTGCTTCCCAGATGGGCCAGGTCCAGTGCTGGAGTGAGCCAAGGGCCTGCCCCACTTCCACCCTCCTTATGGGTACCAGGGGGCAGCTCTTGGTGCCTCTCTCGGTGTTTAGCATAGAGACCACTAGGAGGCATGGCCCAGATGCCCGAACAGCTATGGAGGACATAGAAAGCCCTGCCAGCTGTTTTGGTCCCCAAGGGTTCTCATCCTTGGCATTGGAGGTTCCCTGAGTCTGGGAGGAGCCCTGCCTCAGTCTCCTGGCTTACTGCGACCTTCTGAGATGCTGGCCTGACAGAGGGCTGCTGGTGTATCTGGCCCAGATCAAACACAGCTGCTTGAATTTGTGAGGGCCACCTAGGTGTGAGGCTGGGGGTCAGTGAGGCTCTCCTTCCCTCCCCCACATTCTGGGCCCTTCTGCCCTCAAGAAGAGTACCACTACCAGCTTCTCGCACCCCCACACCCTCGGGGCCTGGGTTCTGACTGAGCACCACTGGTGGAAAGAAAGCCTGGTCCCCAATCCCAGCCTGAGGGTCTCCTGGAAGACAGGCCGCTGCTCAGGGAAGTCCTGGGAGCGGGTTAGGGACCCCTATCCCAGAGTCTCTTCCAGGTCAGTGTATTAAAGTCAGAATCAAGGGGCTTCTTTGCCCTGGGGGCTTGCTAAGGAGTCTGGCACCTTCTTAACCACCCACTTAGGGAGCATCACTTCAGAGCAAGCTTCACAGGGGGCTCCACAGCTCCTCTGGAATGGAATGACAGGTTCGTATCTGTACTCTGTGTCCCCACACCAAGGAGAGCCTCAAACGTCTGTTGAATGCTGGGCAAAGCTCCCGGCTCCACCCCACAGAGCCCTTGGTGCCCCTCCAGTGGGTGTGGGCAGGCTCCCGCCTCCCTGCATTCACAGCCACCCTTGCTAGGGGTGGGCAGGTCTTAGGGCTGGGGAGGGCACTGTTCGTACCTTGATGTTGTCCTGCCAGCGGTGAGCTTTCTGGAAGTTCTCTGCAGCATCGGCCAGTCTCTGAGGAACAGAGCACAGGGAGGTCAGAGGCTGAGGGAGGCCCGTGCTCAGCCCAAAGCCTTCTCCATCCCCAGCACCCCCAGGGACCAGGCTGGCTCAGGGACTTCCTCCCCGCACCCTGCCAGAATCCTAGACATTCTCCAGCTTGCTGTGGGGCCCTTCCCCCACCTACAGTTGGGTTCACACCGTAAAGGTGATGCCTGCACAAAATGACCCAAGTGGTATCTCCATGGGACTCCCTGTACTTCAGCCCAGCCACACTCCTGCCCACAGAATGGCAGGGGATCCCCAGAACAGAGCGGGCTCCAGGACCTGGAGTCAAGCCCCAATGCCACTCTCTACCTGCTACAAACCGGTGTCACCCCAGCACCAAGAAGAAGGCCCTTCCCAGCGAAGGGTAAACTGCCACAAGGCGCAGAGTGCCTCGTTGACGTGCCTGTGTTCCCAGCTCACTCAGGGCCCACCGCCTCCCTCTGCCCACCCAGGCCCACCGCCACCGATCCCATCCTGGCTTCCTGAGGCCCTTCCCTACAAGGCTCTCCACGCCTTTTGTCCACATGAGCCCAGCCCTTCCTTTGGGGCTGGCTCCTGAGGCCTTCTCCATCCAGCCCCGCTGGAGAACAGCTGCATGTCCGCCATCTGCACACCTGGCACCACGCCACGCTGATGTGTGCGGACATGGCAGCACCGGCCCGGCCCTCTCACAGTCCAGAGCAGGAAACAGATACGGAACCGGGTAGAACATCCAGGACAGGAATAGCTGAGGTGCTTCTAGAAAGCTCAGCGCTGTGGGAACTTGGGACGTCAGGGAAGGCTTCCTGGAGGAGGGGCTGAGCTGCCTAGAGATTGTTATTGTGAACGTCCACGGACCCTGTCCTTCCAGGAAGTCTTGGGGCTCCTGAAGAGGGCCCTCTGGGGCCTCCCACAGAACTGAATGCAGTGAAGTCTTGCTAATCATAACGATCACTGTCACTACAAACTAGTCACTTACTGCATGCCAAACCCTCCCTCCGGCCAGCAACACACCGTGTGTACCTGCCACCGTTCCCAACGTGCCTGATGTCCCCTTAGATAAGGATACCGAGGCATAGAGATGGAGAGCAGCCTGCCCAAGGTCACAGAGTGAGTCTGGGCTGCACTGAGGCCCTGAGCCTGGCTCTCGGCACTGCGTTTGCCTTGCCCAGCCCATGACCAAGAACTGAGGCGCACTCCACAGGGCCCACCATGCCTGGTGAGCGACATGTGGCTCTTTCAGGAAAAGAGGCTCTGGTCTCCCACTCCGGCCTCACTCCATTCCATGCGCGGAGCAGTAGCGTCCTGTCTCCTGGCCTCCAGCCCTGCCTCAGAAGGCCCTGGCCTCTTGGTGCTCAGGACACACACCCTTATCCATCAGTCCAGGCCTGCTGGGCCATGGGGGCCGTACAGGTGAGGTTCTAACAAAGCCTGGCATCTGCCCACCATGGGAAACAGGAGTCAGGACTCGGGAGACCAGCTTTTCCTCCCTCCCAGCGTGGAACAGTGTGGGGGGCATGGTGGGACTCCTTGCAGAGGTGTGGCCTCCTCTCTCTGGGGCAGGATGTCATGCCTGGGGGTTAGAGGACCTGTCCACAGCCACCCCCACTGCTGCTGGGCCTGGCTTCCCCTCCTCCTCAGGCCGAGAGAACTGGATGCTGGAAGGCCTATGAGGCTGGGGGTCCTGGGGGCAGGGCAGGGAAGTCCCTCTTGAAGTCAAACCCCTCGCTTCACAATACTGAGCCCCTCCTGGCGTCCACTGCCCTCTCCTGCTACCCCGCCTACCTTTTTTTGTCAGTTCCAGCCTCTGCCAACCTGTTACTGCTTGGGTGGCCCCACCCGCCTTATCCAGCCTCGGGGACCACAGGCCTCTCTACAACCAGATACCTCCATGTCCTGCCTCCAATCCTGGCCCTTCCTGGGGTGACCCTCAGGCCCACCAGAGCCCACACTTGGAATACGCCCATCCGCCTTGGAACCACTGCCCCCTACATCCGGCCCTTGGTGTCAAACCACCTACCGTTGTCCCCAGCACAGGCTCTGTCCTCCCTCAGGCTCCTGCGTCCTCTCTTGCCCTTTGTCATCTATTCTCCTCATGGCACCTAGAGCCTTAAAATATGGATCCGGGTGTGTGGCGTCTCCCTGACCCCAAGCCCTCAGCAGCTCCCTATGGCTCTGCGTATGAAAGGCAAAACTTTCCGGAGGCTCCGGGGGTTCACCTGCGCCCGACTCCCACCCCTCCCTTTACATGGGGTGGGGGGCAGGGCTCCTTTCCACCTAAACCACAAACCCCCAGGGGCAGTGAGGCTCCTGAGTCACAAGCCTGCAGTACCCTTCCGCAGAGGACATTACCATGTGACACATGTGGTTAACACTTGTCACTACTGCTAACTGAGCATCTATTATGCAAGCTCAGCACCTGGCCTGGTTGAGAGAGGGAGAAGCCTTGGGAGCAGCCTCTGGGGCTGCACCTCATACGGGGAGCCTTGGCCAATACTGCACGCCCCCCTTCCTTATCCCCTCAGGGCTGGGCTCTGGCCCTGGCATTCACAGGCCCCAGGAACACGGGGGCTGCCGCCCCCCCAGCTCCCTGGCCTAGCAGCCAAGGGGAGGGAGCCCCAGGGAGCGAGGGCCCCAACCCCCAGCCTCCTTGAACTCATGGAGTCTGCAGGCTCCAAGGCCCGGGTCAGCCCGCTGACTCGTGAATAACGGAGTTGCAATAGCCACAGTGAAAGGATTACTTTTAATCCTCAGTAACGATCAAGCCATTATTATTTTTTCAGTGTTACAGATCAATCAGTCCATCCCCGGGCGCTGGACGTGTGCAAACTGCTAAACACAGGCCTGGTGGTGCGAGAGGGAGGGCTGGGCAGCTGAGTGGCGGTGGAGTGGGCAGGCTGTGGCTGCCTGGGTCCTGTCAGGCTTGAGGACAGAGGGAGGGAGGACTGGGACCACCCACTGGCACACCTGAGGGACCTCAGGCGGGGATCAGAGGCTGGACCCTGGCCTTGGACTGGGTTCCAATCCTGGCTTCCCTGAGCAAGTGGCTTCCCCCGCTCTCAGTTTCCTGCTCATGAATTAGAGATGGTAACTGTACCCATGCAGAGGGTACATTCTTGGCAGCCCCCTTGCTCCAGCTTCCAGAAGCCACTCACAGGGCGTGGTCCCCCGGGGTTTCTGTGGCTGGCTCTAAGCATGCAGGGCTCCTGCCCACCTCTGGGCCTTCCCGTTACCCACTTTTTCAGCCTGGGATGTGCTCCCTGCCATCTCAGTCAGCCCTACCAGACTCTGTCACCTCCCCTGGAAGCCTTCTTTTGCCCCTGCCAGTCCCCTCCCCGCTGGCAACGCTCAGAGCCTTGGGCTCCTGTCTGCGCAGAGCCCACAGTAGTCAGGCCCGTCTGGGGCTGGCTCGCAGCCCCACCCCCACCCTGCCCCTAGGTTCATCTTCCTCAAGCTTTTCTCCCATCTCTTAGGGGTCCTCCTGATGGCCCAGGGGTGGGCAGGATGGGGAAGGAAACTGAGGCTCAGAGGTGAAGGGACAACCCACCAAGAACCCCGGCAGGGCAGGGGCACAGGTGGGGCCACGGCTTGGTCCTGTCTCCAGGCCTCGCCTGTCTGGGGGGTACGCTCTGGTCCCATTCCTGACCGGAGCGCCTGTTCCCCTGGGACCAGCTCCCTGCTCAGGCTTGTTCTCGGAGCCACCTGCAGGTTCTGGCCCTCCTGCTGCCAGGTCCTGCACGTTCTGTCCCCTCCTGTGCATTCTCGCCCAGACTCCTCCAGCCCGGCTCACGCCCTCAGCCTGGAGGTGTTCGCTTAGACCTCATTCTCCTCCTAACCACTCCTTGACCCCTGCCAAGCCCCCATCCGTCCCCACCACGGCACCCAGAGAACCCTATAGTAACCTGGCCCCTGACACGTAGTAGGTGCACAACGACCATCTGCTAAATCAAGGTCAGAGTGGCTCTGAACCTGGGTAGAGGCCTTGAGCTGTGTGGCCCCAGGTGTATGGTTTAACTTCTCCGAGCCTCTTTTCCGCATCACATCCTGGAGAGTCAGGGCTGCGACGAAAGTAATGTGGCTACGAAGTCGCTGATGGTGGCTTGCCTGACCTGCGACGTCCCCATCAGGGCCCAGGTGTTGGCGGGAACTGCAGTGGGACTGCTGAGCGGGGCTGCTCACGGCCAAGTCCATCACAGTAACAGCGGGCATTTCAGAGGCAATTATCAGAGTTTCACTTAACAATCAATTTCCCTCAGCTCCCGAAACTGTTCTTACAGGAAAAGGCAAGGAAGAGGAGGACTGGCGGTGTGCGGGGCTGGGGACAGAGCCCCCCTAGGGAGGAGCCCCCACCTTACCTTCCAATTTCACAGTTAAATGTCTTTCAGTTGCCCTGGAGCCGACAGATGAACTGAGATAAGGGACCTGGGCTGTGGTGGGGTACCCCTCGGAGGCAACTCAGAGAGGAGAGGGCCCCACTGCATGCTGGGAGGGGCGGGGCTTGAGTGTGGGGGTGCTGGAGCCCTCAAGCCAAGCTTCTTCATCCTTTTTGAGGGCTGCTCCTCCCCGCAAGGCTGGGTGCTCCCACTTCTCCTGGGCCTCTTCCCCTCACCCCCCTCACCGGGGAGCCCCTCCTCTCAGTGCTGGCCCAGTCCAAAAGGGTCTGGAAGCAGCTGCCCATCAAATAGGATTTGTTCTGTGCAGCCCAGAGGGAAGACTGTTCGAGTTTTTTGGTCTTAATTAGTCATAGCTACTCCCTCTTCCAAGAGGATGAGAGGTTTTGGATAAAAGGCCCTGAACTTGTGGGGCATAGGATGTTGAGATCTGGGCCACCGGAGGCTGAGCCCAGTGGAAGCTGTCATAGCGGGGCTCTGAGTCGGAGGCAGCAAAGTCCCGGCACTCAACCCCAAGGACACTGCCAGAGGGTGGCGAGAAAGGTAACGATGGCAGGATGATACCAGATACTGCCCCTGGCACCTACCTTGGGCCAA